GATTACTGACCTGCCGCAGTTTGGATCAGACATACCCTTCAAAGGAGCTGCACGCTTGCTGCGAATGACCAAATTCTCAAGTGTTCAAGATTGCGCACTTCCTACCATTTCCACAGTAGGGCAGGGATTCACCATCACGCCCAGTGGGAGCTAACTGGGTACTGGCTACGTGCTTCTAGAAATACAACCTTTCTTAAACTCGTACACAAACGAGGATTCCAACTCCAACTCTTTAAAGGTAGAAAGTTATTAAAAACTGCTGAAGAATCATGGAAAACAGGAACATCCTCCAGCTGGAGGACAGGAATAACGACAGGTGAACCACTCTTGGCAGACGTTTGTCTGATACGATCTTAGAGACCAAAGATGAAGGTGTCAGACGCTTCCCTCTGCAACGTACTCCAGCATTCTAAGCGCACACCCAATCTCAGTTCGCCTTCCTGCAATTTACCTTTATCTCCTGCCAAACATGGAAAGAGAAAAGTCCATTCTTTGCAACTATCTTTTACGGATTTAGAAAACATATCACAGCTCCTTATGTTTTTTTCTCTAAGCAACCTGATTTATTTAGTTTTTAGTCGTAGTTATTCCAGAGCTTTGAACGTAGCGATACCCTCTTTTGGGCTCACGAGCATTCCGGAATAGGCTCATCTCTCTTTAAGTTTGCTATAGCAAAGCATATATGTCTAAGTATCGTAGGTTAAAGCCTTAAATGTATACAATTACAATAATTTAGACTTGCCCTCCTTTCCATAACATTTTCAAAACAAAGGTGGTTTGTAAACTACAAAGGTAAAACAGAACTAGAATGCATTTGGGATTCTGCAATTCAGGAAAACCTAACAGGAAACAAATACCTAAACCTGAGCGTTTCTTTGCGGACATGCTAGGACGTGTGCCTTCTAAGAGCATCAAAGTTCTACTAAATTTACACCAGTGCTTGAAAGGCAATCCTGCAAGAAGGAGATTTGCTGCTGCACAAAGCACAGCAGGAAACATGCAAAAATGCAATGTGTGTGTGCAATTACAGGATCTTTTTTCCCCCACATACGGGCACCTGCTTTATTCCAAGTACCTTTCTGTGTATTTTGACGACTAAGATTTTGAAACCAATAAAAATGTAAACAGGAATATTCACAAGCCTAAACATCCTGTACTTGAGCTTAGGCCTCTCTAACGCAGCATCATTTGTCATCCTGATCACAGTAGCACATGTGGGTCTGCAATGGAGAACTTGATTTCAGCAACAAATGTTGCAGAACATATACATGCTATCTTTCACAGTTCAACTATTTACTTTTTTTTTTTTTTAATCAATTTGTTCTGGTCTTGGTTTTCCATCTTCTCCTCCTGATCTCAGAGAAAGCTCGCATTTTACTCTGTGGAAAAGTCAGGCAAGTAAAGCAGGAGTCTTCTCAACAGTCAAAACAAGGCCCAAGAATATTGCTGATGAGCAGTAAGATTCTGATAAATACGAAGATTCAAGTTTTATGCCATTTTGCATTCTAACTAAGCAGAAAAACATTGAAGGAAGGGGACATTGGAAAAGGAACTTCAAAGCAGAACAGTTTAAACAGATCAGTGTCTTGAAGCACAGTTTTGCAACAGGAGCTGCAAGACCAGATGAATGTTAATGAACATATAAAACGCTCCTCTAAAAGCAGAGCTTCCAAAGTGAAGATACTGGGGAGCACTCCAATGCAAGTAGAATCAAAACATGACATGATAGAACACCGTCATTTGTGCACACTAAATCACATTAAAACTTGGTATAACTGACATATTTCATCAAATTTATTAAAAAATGAAAAGCTTACGATAAACAGTCTATAAGCAGTGTAAGAAACAGTTCAAAAAATTTCTGTGTGTTATTTTACAGCAACTGCAACGAAATGTGTTAAATACTGCCCAGTACGACAAAACAAAGGATGAATCAACATTCTGAGTTGCAAATTAGACTTTCACTCTTTCAATCCATGTTAAATATATATTTGTAGTGTCTGAAGAGAAAATATTTTAATTTGAAGAATAAGTTACACACTGTTATAGTGAAATATTCAAGACATCCTCTCTCTTAGGGGCATGCATTTTTTCTGTTAGTCTTTCCATCTACAAGTACAAAGTCAAAAAACTGTCAAGATTATAACTGAGTGAAAGAGAGGATACTATCAGACAAAGTTTTATCATATCTGAAAAACTCACAGGCTTATTGTACATTATTAAACAAAGAACTTAATGACAACAGAATTCTGAATACTAGAACCATACGGACATTGGCTTTTGCCATTTTAAGGACAAAACATGAAAAATTCTACCTGAGAAATTATCCCTTACGATGCAAGGTTTACCTTATCAAGTGAAATGACATCAGCAGAATTTTACATCTCCTTCTTCTTAATTAGGGAAAACTAACAAAGTTATCATACCACTTGAAGAGCCAGCATGACAAGTCTTTGCCAGAAGCTGAATAATTTACTCCAGTGTTTCAATGGCAGGAGAATTCTGGAACACAGGACTGGCCGGAAAACATATGTGTCACTCCAGAAGGAAAATAGCAAGGAAGTCCCAGAGTGCACCTGGAATGGTACAGTAGTAAACCAGCCACATGGCAGTGGCTATTTCATTTTTTCAGAAGTGTATAAATTCAAATACACAGTTGAAAACTGCAAGTCAACAGAATGAGAACCACAGAATCACTATTGCTACCCAGGTACAGATAGAAAAGCTATGACTCAGCCTTTTGCTCAAGTAAAGAGTAGTTACAGATTTTTTTGTATGAAAGCATGAGAAACATTCAGTATCTGGACACAGTTCACAAGCACCCCTGGGTCTGTACCATACTTCTAGCAGTCATAACCCACTAGCAACTCGAACGCTCTTGTCTTTCCTGCACAGGGGTCTGGAACAAACTCAAACACACAAGCTCACGCAAAGCTACTATCCCTCACCAAAACACTGAACAAAAAAGCTTATGTCACTGACCAAAAGTGCAAGTGGTAACAAGAGGAGACAGAGTCGTCGGGCTTCCGCTCCCTTTCCATACAAAGCCTACTGTTATGCTAATACTTTACTTGCAATAAAGCTATCGCAGATTTGATGGCACAGCTAGCATTTGTACACACTTATCCTTACACTCAGAGGAAAGAGCCATGACTCTCAAAAGATCTCTCCTCTGTGATCCCAAGTTAAACAGGGAACATTAGCAAAATCTTCATTTCTATCCATTTGTAAGAAAGCACTCAGAGCTGTAATTTCCTAAAATCAGCTCACAATTTGTACGTTAGGAACACTAATTGGGACATCAAATCTAGAATATTTGTTTTTTCATGTGAAATACATCCCTGCTGTGTGCACCTTCATGTTCATAAAAAAAAAAAAAAAAAAAAAGATTGCACGCAGCGGTTATTTTATGAAAAGAATAACCGTTGTTAGAAAATCTCCGATGCAGATGGGACTTTCAGTTCCTCCCCCCATTCATTTAACATTACACTGTTTCCTAAAGTTCCCTACAACTAAAGCAGGTCACACAGGCTCTGTGTAATTCAAAGAGGTTCCACTCCAAGAGCAGCCTGTTACATATAGTAGGGGATAATTCTGTCTTTGGAAGCTGAAAAATTCAAAACACCTCCTCAGACAAAAAGAGGCCTTGTCTGAGATTTTTCCATCCTACCTCTCTCTTGAGCTTGAGAAAGTTTTCATGAACTCTGGAAAGTCTAAGCCACTTGGCCAAGGTTTTTATTTAAGTATTCACTTGCCCATAAGTTTACTGCAATACTTCTTCTCTATTCCCTTTGAACCTCTTCCTTGCAGCTTGCTTTCTCTTCAGTTCCCACATCCAGCCTTTAACTTCTTCCTTTAGCGATCTGGAAGGACGCATGATGAAGTTAACTGTTAAGCAAAAAAAGGTAAGTATCTCCTTAGGAAAGAGATGAAACCCTATAAAAGGAACGTATCTTAATACCTTAGGAAGAAGGGAAATTACAAACTGTTGCAAGGATACCAGTCACGTTCTGTTAACAGCCACGGGATCAGTAGATTTGAATGACGTCATCCCACTCATCAACAGGCCAGATACCGTTGTCCTGAACGTTGGATGGTGAGCTCTTCCAGTCCCACATCTTCACAGGAACCTTCCAATCGGGGCCATAGTTGGCTTCCACATACTGGAGGGTTTCACAGGGTACATGTACTTTGAGTTCTACAAACTCAGTCCAACACAGAGTAAACTTTGGAAACAGATACCTGTATCATAAGAGAATACAATCATTAGCAGAAGATTGAGATACACATCTGTTGAAATCTATGCAGAAGGCAAGCACTACAGCAAGTCATCATCTTACTTTTATAGTTTCTCTCATTGCACAGCTTGCTGTCTATGATAGAGATACTTACTACTTATTAGACAAAGGTGTTATCAACAATAACCAGTTAATATTTGCCATGCGTTCTTAGGGCATCCTTGATGCTATTGTTTTTTTTTCCCTATACTATTCTGTCCCCTGTAGGAAATTACTTGGTTCATATCTCTACTCTTCCACTTATAAACTAGGTTTAACAATTACCTTATTTAGAAGGGTGCCTTGAGCTTCAACACATGTAAATTTTGGAGGGAGATTTTGATAAAAGCAGCATGAAAAACATTATTATGAGTGAGGCCTGGAAATAAGAAAACTAACAGGAAAAAAAAAAAAAACAAAAATTAGAAAAATAACTTGTTTTAAACAAAAGTTTCCACCTTCCTTCAATCTGACCAAACAAAGCATGTTTGAACATGTCGCCAAACTCAAGAGCACCTGCAAAGTATTAACACAGTTGCCACCCTATAGTTTTTGAACCTGTTCGGCCCATTGAGATTAATAAAAGAAGTTATTCTACCTCACCCACTTTCTTCTGCATCTACTCTTTTCTCTGGAAGGGTCAACAGGAGCCATATCTGTATGCCACTAGTGGAAACGCACAGATAAATTTCACAGTTTCATCAAAATGAGGCCCTACAGGAGCCCAGGGTCAGAGTCCGCTCGTTAAACAAAATATCAAATACCAAAGCCTACGTCCTGCAGAGTATCACTCCCATTTCTGAAGTTGTGAAGTCTTGCACAGAAAAAGTGATCTTAACATTTCCTTTAGAATTATCACATGTTAAAAAGAAATCACAAACACTTACCCCTTTGAAAGGGAAGAGGGTTAAAAGATTTGTATCCCTGCATGAACTAAATATCCAACAAGTTCCTTTAAGTATAAAGCTAAAATTATTTCTAAAGAGTGAACAGTTTCAAAATATAAAACTACCTTAGTTTTACGCCTTAAATGGAGAAACAAGTGATCAAGCACTTTTGCATTTGTATCCAGGGACTACTGATTAGCTCTAAACTAAACAAACAGGCAAAAAAAAATGCCAGGTACCAAGGCAAAAATAGGGTAAGCAAACTTTATCAGTGGTTTTATAATCATGAAATAGATATTTAGCTGTTATTAAACCAAGAAATCATTCAGGTTATCAAACAGAACTAAATTAGAGTGGACGTGCACAGCAAAGCCCTGAAATGATATATCCTCAAGACTGAACTCTGAATAATCAATTTTAAGGAGAACAAACGAGTATTTTACATAAACCATCTATTCTGCCAATTAAAAAGGTAGCGCAAAATTTCACCATAATAATTACTTAACTATGATTAAAATCAAGTTTTTACATTCACTGAGGAGAAACATAGCTTCCCGTTGATACCTCTCACCACTGGAATTGTTGCCCATCATTTGCTCATTCCAAGTGGCAGGGATAAGGCTATACACTCCTATGCACATGCACTGCTCATTGTCTTTCCAACATCCGTCTCATCAATCTTTGGACATAAAAGTAGTGAAAATATTTTTTGCTTACATAAAATCCTTTCTCTTCCATATTAAGACTTTCCAGAATTAACTGTTTTTAAGAATTAAAGCAGATAGTGCAGTCTTCTTTCACAGATTTGATTTTTATAAATGCTTATTCTCTGCTGAAGAATGCACCCATCCAGCATAAATTCTGTAAATAAATGGGAGCTCTCAATTGTTGCTACTTTAAGATAAGATAAGAGTATGCACATTTGCTTGTGTATCTGCAATGTGGAAGAAGTATTCAGATGCAGAGCTTTTAGCCAGACTTTGTGGTTTAGAAAACAACTCTCCAAGGAAACAGAGAATAAAAATCGTTAGTGGAAAAATATTTAAACTAAATGAAAAAAAAATTCGTCCTTCAGACTTTTATCTAGTAAGATGTATAGAAAATACACGTCTACAAATACTTAGCTTCCTGAATAAAATGTTCCTTTTACCCTTCATTTATTGAAAGTATAAACATACTCTTGGAACAGAGTTCCCATCCTTATCTGTGATGATACAAAAGCAATCAGTATCTCTTCTGGCACCATATAAACACCAGGTGAGATTCCTTCAGAATTGCTCACAGGTGGATTTAGGATTCAGCACGCTCAATCACTTTTCTTTTAACTTCACCTTCCCCCAAAATTTTGAAAGGACTGAAGACTAAGAAGAATTGAAATTATAACACTTAAACCAACAATATTGGATAATCACATCCCAGAGCTAAAGAGATGTGGACCTTTTTTTCTCTTTTTGAGAAGGTATTTGGAATAACACAGTAGGTATTTCAAATAGCTACGTTCTGTCAATGCTCAGTGCCTTCACAAGCAACCAGTAAGCAACCAGTTTTTCTTGCTTCCTTTTCCACATAGATTAATTACAGTGAAGTACACCTAAAAAATCACCAATTCAGGATTAATTCAGGATTCCTTAGACTAAGCTACTTTTAAATAAATTTCTCATTGAGCTAGAAAGCCACACTTGTCAACTTGGTTTGAAAAAAATTACTGCCAAAAATAATTATTAAGCTGTGACTGTTTTATGAATGCCAAAGTTTCATAACAGCTGCAATATACCAGGATACAGGAGCTGTAACTGTAGCACATGTACACAGATTCAAATTCCCTTTCTGTTCTTATGCCTTGGACTGGTCATATCAAGAGAGAGAAAAAAAAAAAAATCTCTCAAGTACCCAATATCTGATGCTAGAATGCTATTTTGTAAGAGGATGACAAACTCCACCAGCATGGGAACAGATGTGGCAATTTACATAAAACACATGCAAAGAAAAGGAAAGGTATTTATTAGTCAACAGGCTTCCCTAAAAGATGTCACCAAAAACCCTCCATAACCTTGTATGGAAAAAACAGACATTAAGCCTGCTTTGGAGAACTGTAAGAAACTGTTGTGGTATTCCAAGAAACAACTCTGCAATATGCCACTTTTTCTATTAAAGAACTCCTCCTTCTGTCTATTTGCAAGTGCGCTTTTTGACTCTGGTCATCAAAAATACCTTGCCCAGTCTTTGCTTATCCTTTCAAGACAAAGATAACTAAGACAAGGAGTCAGACACAATCACTGTCTGGGTGAGAGTGTTCACTAAGCATCTGTTACCTAGAAAAAGCAATGCACTTCAAGCAAAATATAGAAGATCATCATGTCCTATAAGAACTCATCAAGGTCCTCACCTAGTCTGCAATTTGTCTCTTTCTGGGTTAAGGTGGATGACGGAAACCAACCTAATCATCAAGATCTACACTGAGTTTGCTGAGTAGACTAAAAATCTATGGTCTTTGTTTGCTGATTTAATACTGAAAGGAATGAAGCAAGAAATGTGGGATCCTATTTAAAATTTCATTTTCAGAATGGGAACAAAGTTATCTGCAGTAGTCATCGTCTGCACAGCTGTCATAACATTACCATAGAAGTAGTACTGCAAATCATTATCACAAAATCCCCAAACCAGGGGTTTTACTTTGCAAGGGCAGCTGAGGCTTTCTGCCACAATGCTCTGTCATCAAATCAGACGCCCGAGGGCTCCTTTTTTTACTGCGAAATCAGTATTTGCAACTAACAGTTTTGAAGATTTCTTTTGCGTTTTATCTCTTGGACTTAGAGCTCGTCACACTCCAGATAACGTCTGCTTGATGCACTGTCAGGCCACTATTGCTTTAGATTTCACAAGAAAATTGACATTTGACAAGTCCAGCCCCCTTCCAGTAAGGCACAGGTAGTGCTGTTCTCTTCCACTTCTGCAGCTTCAAAGCACAAAATCTCCAGTGATTCCCCTTTGACAACTGCCTTTCCCACCAAGAAAACAGACTGCTAACTGCTAGCTCTAGAACTTCGCTAAACAACAACACACAACACAGGATGCCAACAATAACTTGTTCAACTCCTTTCCTACTAGAGGTACAAATCCAGTTCATACTTGAATTTCTTGCCCGATTTGGCCTGAGTTCCTCCATTCCATATGTGGTTATCCTCTTCATAGAAGAAAAAAATATCAAGTTTCACATCACCTTCTCCCTGGAAAGAGAGTTCCAAGCTGTCTTCTACCTGCAAGACAAATATATATACTGTACATACTCATAGGAACACAGAAAAAATGCAGGACTACTTATGCCAGCAGGTTTCAGAGAACAAAGTTATTGTGGTCAATGTTGCAGAGCGTCTCCTATCCTAACTGAAGAAAATACACCAACTCAGCAATTTCTTTTTTTGATGCCTTGAGAAAACTGGAAATTTTCTTCACCTCAGAAGGGACTACCCTCTCCATCCTTACTCTAGCCCCAACAGCTCTAGCACCTACTCTGTTCTTTGCCACAGAGCCAACACATAACTCCTTATTTCGGATCAACTGCAAAGTCCCTTTGTTTTGGCAGGAAAGCCAAAACTTAGAGCTTTCTGCAGAAATTTTATAAGAGTTATGGAAAGAACGACAGGAGTCTAAAGCAAACTGTTTTCCATGCACATGCTTGAAATAAAATACATGAAAATACAGAATGATGACCTTTCCTTGGCAAGGAAACCTCTAATTGGGAATCAATTATTCCTAACCCCCTCAGAAGAAAAGATATCACTGTGTAGGTTAAAGATAAAAATCAAGAAAGTGCTTGAAGAACAAAACTCTAGCTAATCCGAATAGTACTGTCCACTTAATAGCACAACAGATCAGCTTCTACAGCTGCATTTGCTATGCTTGAGCACATGAACAGAGAGCGATCTACCTTAGGTTCCCACCTTTCTTCATACAGCTCACACAGTACCCTACCACAATTCATGAAGAAACTGCTAAAACCTAAGACTGTAGTTTGATAAAAAGTCCTCACACAAAAGAGCAGAATAACCTCAGTGAATAAACACATAATTAGTAAGTGCCTTTATTTAAAACATCTCCTCTCTGGTAAAACACCCACTAGCAGCAATTAACGATGTAGCTCTTGAACGGAGGCTGAACCTTCCTATCCCCGTAATTTTGCTTTTTCTCTTTACCCTTCAGATTCCACTCTCCAGCCTGTGCTCTAGCAAAGCTAAGTAAAGGTCCATATAAGCTCACGATGGACAAGCCCAATGCCCACCTTAGGCAATCTTTCCCTCTCTGCTAGCTTTGCATACAAGGCTACACAATCTCCGTGCTTATCACCACTCTTCCCCTACGATCAGGCTCACTCAATATCAAAGATTAAATCTTCCCTTGATTTTTTATTTCTCTAGCACCACTCGCACAAATTAGACCCCTTTAAAATTAAAAATTTCTTCTGAGGTAGAATTCAGACTCTCTAAACAGGACAACGGCCGGCCATTAAAAAAAAAAAAAAGTGTTCTGCATAGTCACACACTATCCGAGAGACCACACAAAAGTCAATGAAATTATCTGTTTAGATAGATCACTCATGAGTAAATATGCAAGAGGAGACCTCAGACATCCAATTCAACGGAAATGACCTGCAGCCACATTCAGATTTATAAACCAACCAAAAGGATGCGTGAAGCAAATTGTTCATTATCTGCCTACCTTGCCAAATTTGTGCTTCAGTGGTAATCCTGCTTTCTGAAATGCTGGAATGATATCTGCTTTGTAGTCCCTTATGAAGACCCCCAAATCCACGTCTTTGCTGTAAGGAATGATATTGCACTGTCTATACCAGCCTGAGGGGGGAAGAAAGGGGGAGGGGGAAATTAGTTAGTTAATTCAGAAACATCAGGCATACACAGACGGAACTAAAGCAAGGTAAGGCTGAATTGACATAAGGTCACAGGTCAAGATCCTTCAAGGAGACCATAAACAAGATTTCTGCCTTTCTGTAGTGTCAAACTGACCATATCGAAGAAAGCAAACATTACGTACTTGTAGTCAGCTCTCTCCTCCAGCAAGCCAGGAATGAGAGAGAAATTTCTAACACTCTTAAAGATAAAATATTTTCAGTGTTCTACACAAAATGGCTTTGAAGACAAAATATTTTAGATCTGGGTTCAGATCTAATCAGCAGCGAACAGTTACAAGGATACAACTCTGCTTTTAGTTTGAAACAATTATTTTAAATAGTGTGTGAGAGGTAAATCACCTTTTAATTACCAAAACAAAACAAGGTAAGATGCACAACCTTTCACTTATCTCATTAAAGTTGCTTTTTCTAACTGTCCATTCAGAAAATGATTGTCCCTAGGACTAAACAAATACAAGTCAAATGCTCACATTTATCAACTTATATCATCTGCTTCAGTAATGACAAGAGTCTTTCTCCTGTAATTAAGACATTACTTTCCACTTCTGCAGAACTGAAAACCTGCAGTATCCACTCTAATAGGCTGATGTGTAAAAGGCTGTGTTTTAAAATAAATATATGTAAATCATGTTTAAAAAGTCAGTGATAAACATCAATTGGCGTGGGAAGAAAATCAGGTGACAGTGTTTAGGGATACTAGAAAAATGTGCCATCCCTGTATTTGCCAGCTACCGTCTCAGTAAATTGTATGGCACAATTTAGGAAGCTACTGATTACCTTCTAAGCTGTGATAACACAACACAAATAAGTGCTAAAAACACTGAGCACTTCACTTAAATTTTGCTCAGCACCTCCAAGGGTCAAGATTTTAAAGGAAAAACATTTGGTCAAGAGCAAAAAAATCTTATTTTAACAGAGCTAATGTGGAGCACCTTCCTCACAGTTAACAGATATCACCTTACAACCTTGTATATTTAGCTGCTAACCTCAGCTTACATCATAAAAGCAATAGGTGATGAAATTTTTAAAAACGCTTTACCAAGGCAGGTTCCACTGCTCAGCCAGAACTTTACTCCTAAGTTATTTAGTGTCAGGGCAGCCAGACGCAGCAAGGATTTTGCCTTTTTTCTGAACTCCACTGCATCAAGAGATGCATCGTCAGGGTACAGCTAGAAAGCAAAAGAACAGCAAGCTATTTTTTGTCAGACAGCGAACACGTCCTTTCATTTTTCAGTGTCCTAAGAGAAAAAAAACCTTTAAAATTTTTACGTAACTAATATCTGCGCATGTATACAACTCGGTTTGACAGCATGCAATGGAACGGCAGGTTAAATTTAAATTCTGAAAAATCACTGTTCAGCTTTTCCAAACCAGCAGAATGCAAAGTCAAACTAAAATAGTGACAGAATAAGTGTATTAGGCACTGCAATTCTCAGGGCTTGCCAACACCACACGTGAACCCTAACCAAAGCTCCAAGGGGACAACAGAGACAGATTTAGACAGGTTCTGAGCATATCACAAGTTTATTTGGCGCCACCACGTGTTACAACTGGATACGGACAACCTCTGCCATTTATTACTAACAACCTGAAGAGAAAATAACACCTGTCTTCAGCTACAAAAATCCTGCTGCAAGACCTCCTGTATTGCAAAGCTAAAAACAGGATGGAAAAGCCTAGGCGAATATTACCCTATCAAACACATGAATGATGCACCAGACACTCAGCATCACTACTGTTTTCACTGGGAGCTCCTCAAACACAGTTGAAATGAGAACTTAATTATCAAAATAGATGCCAACTCATTGTTTCAATACTAAAGCTCCAAAATTCAATGTACCTTCTGAGGGACATTTTCTCTGCATGGGGTAGTGAGTGCCTGGAGGTCTTAAGAGCTGAAGTGGAGCACACTTACAGTTTCTGGACCTTACAGGTGAACTGATATCACACACGTAGCCCTGGGTAAACATGCATGCATGGGGAGAGAGACTGGAAAAGGATGGCTTTCACATGTAGAGGTCAAAGGAGAAATCCTTGCCCTAAGATCTCAAACACCTGAAGAACGGAAACTTTGGTGTCCTCTTTTTTACCTTTCCCATGGAGCGAGAGGTCATACAGATTCAGTGACCTGATTCTGACTTTGCAGTCTTAATTGTGGTAACTCAATTCTGTATCTCAGTCCTTGCCAAGTTAGAACAAAAAGCTCCCCCTACTCCAGCAGGAAGTTTTCTACTATCTGCTAAATCAGACAGCAATACTCTGAAAAAGTGTTCTAAACAGTGACGAAACTATTAGCTTACATGGTCAAAAAAGAATAGAAAAAAGTAATGTCTGAATGAATATACCATTTCACATAAACAGAGTCAGAAACGTGGAACTGCAGCGGATGGTTCAAAGGAATAAAGAAACATTACTGAAAACTTTGAGATTTTCCACAAGTAATATTTTCAACCACAAAGACACACAAGATCTTAATGTTATTTACATGAAATCTATTGAATAGGAACAAATGTGAGAGAACTACGGAGAGGTTGGTTACCTCTTCTTTACACAGTCTTGGACCATGCAAGGAAATACCTTCACAAATCAAGAGGAGAGACAGTCTTTCCCAGCCACCGAAAAATTTTAGCTTTAGTATTTACTAATTGCTGTGGATTACATCTCAGAGCCTGTATTTAAATTGATATATGCAAAGAGTCCCTTTCAAGCCAAACACAATGAAATGTTTGTAGGTTTAGGTTTATCAATGAGCAATTTACATTACATCTCAGAGACACTACCTGATTACCACTAACCTGAAAGAAAGCCCGAGCTTCTCTGTACCTACATTCAAGAAATCTAGAGTGTGATATCTCCTCAAGAAAACTGGACGGATTTTTCGGAATTTGAACTTTTAAGTCATCAATGGAAACGAGCAGTAGTTCAGGCCTGCATGGAAAGAAACGTTACTCCACTTAATTCCTTTACACATCACAAACCATCTTCTCCCCTAGCTGAAGTTAAAAACTAAATACACAGTACTGCCAATGATTCCTCTGTCCGAACATACCTAAAACTGATTAGAGCAACACAAGCTTCAACATATTCCCCAATGCATTTGCAAACTTTAAATCGCGTTTTAAAAAAAATTAAATGCTTGTAAACCTTTACCCAGCATTGCAAATCACTGGTTCCATTCTCGACTCAGGACTTGCACTGAATTTGTTCAGAGTTGTTATTCAGTGTATTTGAAAATTCAGGCTGTTTATCTGGTCGTCTAAATGCAGATGCACTTAAGAATCAAATTTCAGCCTTCGCTTTGAGGTCACTTGCTTTAAAATATAAAAGCTGTTCAGCCTTCACAATGAATGAGATGTGAAATTTAATAGTTTACATAATTGACTTTAAATGTTGAGGTACACAGCAAGTAGTACAGATTCATGGTTCAGAAGGAAGAAAGAGCGGCCTCAATTTAAAAATATATATATAAATAGATTTATTTTGACCTGTGAAATGTTTGGCTCTTTCTCTTTGGTTTCTTATGATATACACACATACCCTATAAGAATATTATTCTTTAAGGTTAGTGGTATGTGTCTGGCTTAGAAAATAGTGACAAGATTTCCTTTGTGGACAAGTCACACCACCAACTCTAACATTTGTGCAAGTCGGGAGTCCTCTCAGTGCTTTAAGGGTAGGGGTTAGATGCAACAGTTGGCACATACCTTTGTGTTAAAATATCACTTCTCTTTATGCATGTTCTTTAATATTGGTCACTTAGACCATTAAACGGATTTCTACTACCTCCACTTTTCCTTTGATGATCAACATTGGAAAAAAGTCTGTACTCAACTTTTGGCTACATGTCATTACAGAAAGCTTTTTCAAATGGCTGCTACTTTAACCTCAAATATCACAAGCACAACTCATATCCTGCATGACATTTATTTCAGAATACTTCATGCGCAAGATGACAGTCAGCAGACACTTTTAAATGTTAGTCAGATGTGTCTTCTGGATATCAAAATATCCTAATGCACACCAAACATATCAGCTGTTACTACATTTCTTGCTACTTGTACCTCATCACTCTCACTTCTGCATTTATAGATGGTAGGAAACTCTACTTTTCAGGTAAACATTTGAATTTATCTTTACACATTTCATTTATCCACATTTTGAGAGGTAAATTATTCAGGAGCTGAATTTTTATAACCGGAACTTTAGAAAAGAGAGTAATTTTACATACAGGAGAAAGGAGTTATCCTGGAAGGGCCGCTATGGTTTTTTCTTCCTCTTTTGTGAACTCACTTTTCATATGCTCCAGGGTAGCGACCAAAGTGGAGTTTCCGGAAAGGCACAAACTTTCTGTCCATATGTTGCTTGAGCCTCAAAGGACCATGCCAGAGGTAGTTGCCACTCCTCTCATAAAAGACTACCAGGTGAATAGCATGAGACGCCAGTTTAAAGATGTAGTGCAAGGGAATTTCAAACCCAGACAGGTCATCCATCCCATCCAAGCGGGGGTCTTTGTTTAGAATCTTTAGCCATTGGAATCCCATTTTCTCAGCAGCTCTAAAAAGGTCCATCTAAAAATGAGAGAGAGAAAAGCTAAAGAGAACAGAAACAAAAACGGAATGCTAAATGCTTATGTATAAACTAGCATTATTCCCAATTTTCATTGTCTAATCAGAGGTAAGCACAAACTACTCCAAAACAAGATCTTAAATATCAGCTACAACACCTGCAACTGCAATCTTCCTTTTTCTTTTGTCCCTCAAATTATTCAGTAAAACATGAAAATAAACGCTGTCAGTCACTACGTTGAGTCAGTTTCTCAGTCACTACCTTGTGCTCGCTTTTGTAGCATCAAAAAATACCTCGTTGCTGAAACTCTTCATTTGATACAAAGCAGAATCCAAGATCTTTCGCACAATTAAATTCTATTTTCAGTATTCTAAGAAAACTGTCCATGCGCACAGACAGCTATCAACAGATTTCACTCCGATTTTTTAAAATATATTAATGGTAAAGTCAGTGACTCACATTACTAGAGCTTCTGCTACTCAGTTACTCCACATTTGCCTGAAAATCTCAAAGCCATGACTTTTACCGTCTTTATGACGTTGTATATTCTGTTCTATGCAGAAGTGTTTAAGGAGAGAAGTATACACTTTCTAGGAAGCATTCAAAGCAGAAGTTTCTCTCCTGGATTCAGTCTCAGTCCTTACTTCTTTCAGGTAATTTTCTTCATACATGCACTTTGCCTCCCTCCACTTTCTGCCTGCTTCAACCTGGCTAAACAGTAACTTGCTCTAAAACTGATCATTTCAAGAAATGCATTTCCTCACAGAGTTACATGTGCTCTTTGTCACAATACCCGTTCTTTTTAGCTCATATTTTACATCTTTTAATCAAAGACCAAAATCAAGATTTCCCATGTTTGGGATAGGCCTGCTCCTTCACAGATTACCTGTAGCTTCAAACTGTTCTCAGAAGTTATTCTTGCGTTCAGTTTGGCATGCCTGAAGTCCTTGAATAACGATACCACTAATGCATACACAATTACTGAAAAATCTTATTTTACGACATACACAAATATTAGTCTAAACATCATCAACCACTGAACATTAACATCAGGGTAACAGGAAAGCCAACAGACTTCAGTATTTTCATAAAAAAGGTATCGCACACAGCTTTTAAAAACTTTTGGTTATCTGAAATAACTCTTCCTAAATCCACCTCGAAGTGTATTAACCAGGCCTATCAGCTTCTCCTCTGGATGCTACAGATAAGGTCAAGGAGCCACAAAGCAGGAGGGAGGTGGAACTGTAACAATGTTCCATTGTACACACAGCCTCCTTCTCAATTTAAATCCTTAACTGCTATGGGAAAAACAGCTGGTTGATCAGCTCCTGAGTGCCACCACAATTCACCTGAGTGGGACTGCTTCAGTGAAATAGTATTAGCCCATTTGAATGTTCCTTGCTTAAAGAAAAAGATATCAGTGTCATCTCTAGTTTGTATATATTCATATCTATTTCCAGGTGGCACTTAGCTGATGAAGTAATCTTGGATTCCATTTTAGCCTTCCTCACGTGCTATACCTCTGTTTTTATCCCATCCATCTAAATATCTCAGAATACTGAAGTAGAGGTCCTAACACGTTAAAAAATAAAACCCTGTAACTACAGAGATGTACAAAATAAAGTAGTCCTAAAAGAAATGTAAGCCTGCAGCCTGTCTTAGACTTTCCAGCCTTGTCAGATCAACTCCTCTGTTTTTGCTTTGATAGATCCCCTAACTAAAGATTTACTAAGGCTATATCTGCATCACGGACTTAAGGTTCCCTTCTTCCTTTCTAACAGGCCACTTATTTTTTTCTTTTTGAAGGTGCCCTCTTCTTACAACTGCTTAGGAACATTGCTGACTGCCTCTAAAAACTTCTAGTTATCCGAAATGACTCTTAACACGTCCATCTTCTAAACACTTTTCTGACTTCCTTCAAAGTATCAGGGTTGCTCTTCTCTTTTGATGACTCACACGCTTCTAAAACCAAGCAGACCCCTGCCTGAATACCTTTTACTCTTAAAAAATGAAAAGCAAAAAAAACTTTCTCTACTCCACCCTTTTACAAGATTTCCACACAATATATTCAGAGTTCCTGTTACAAACATGCGAGCGTTATGTCACAAGATCCTAGAGCACCTGAATGCATTACAACATACAAATATAAACTGGAGAAGAAAAGGCACTTACTTCATGTTTCCACGTTTTGTCCAGTAGTGCAAATGTAGTAAAGTCTCTTGGAGCACAGAAATACTTGCATTCTGGGCTAGGGCCATCAGAAGAACTCCTGATCTGTTCAATGTCTTTATCAATCAGTCCCAGAACCAAAGGATCAATCAAATACACGGGTATATTTTGACTGGATATTAAACCTAGGAACTTCCTAACCACATGCTGTTCGATAGAGGAGAAAACTGAAAGTTAGAAACATTCTCTTTCAGAGCACAAAGGCTAGTACTTTAAAAGTATAGCGTCATGGTCACTAGGAACGCTTATCTCCCAATAGGACTCCCAACTCAGAATTCTAAGTGTGAGCTTCACTTCCACAAACACTTGGGGATACAGACATTTTCTCTTTCACAAGAACAGTCTGGTCTCAGGCCTTCCAAATCCCTAAGCTTAGAGGATAAACCTTGTGGAGTAGTGTATTTCTGAAAGTTAGAGAAGCACTTAGAAGACGGAGCTGTAGAGGACTTAAATAGAATAGAGATAATAGGTCCAGATAAGATACATCTGTCAGTGCCAAGAGAGCTGACTGATGCTATTCTGAGGCTGCTCTCTGACATCCTGAAAGGTCACAAGGATCAGGAGCTGCTACTGAGGTGTGGAAAATGGCCACATTCAAAAAATGCCATCTTCAAAAACGAGGATATGGGGAACTCTGGTCAGCTTAATCTCAGTCTCCAGGAAACTCCTGAGGCAAATGACCCTGGAAAGTCACATCCAAGCATACGAAGGGTGAGAAGATCATTAGGAAAGCCACAACAGATTTATCAAGGACATAACGCACCTACTCACCCCGATTGTCTTTGGAAGTCACTGGCCCTGTGGACAAGGGGAAAGCAATGCATGCTCTCCACCTTGACTTCAGCAAGGCTTTGGACCCACTCCCCCTCTAGGGCTCCACACCTAAAGGGAGGCGATACGCACTGCACAACTGCACCGCGAGCTGCATGCCGAACTAGCTCCATCAGCCTCACAGCTGATGAGCTGCACCGAGTCCGCCCACTCCTTGGTCACTCCTGGCATCTTCACCATCATCAGGATCGGCCTGCATTGCTTCACAGCTTTAAGACCGCCTGGCAGCGTGGCAAGGACTGACCCCTCAGCTACTTGGTGGACCGGACCAGACCAAACCGAGGGAGCACGCAATACGCTGGAGCACAGGCCCGCTCTTCAGAGGCACCTCAACAGGATGGAGAGGCAAGCGGACAGGAACATCGCCAAGGCCACCACAGCCACAACCAAAAACGCCCGCCTCTGCAACCGCGGAGCCCCCGGCACCAGCACTGGCCGCCGCACCCCCCCACCCGAGTTCTGCCCCTTCTCAGGCTCCGTTTGGAGTCCCGCCTCCACTTCCGGGCTCCCCAGCACTGCACGGACTCTCTACGCGCTGCAGCAAGTCCAGCGGAGGGCCAACAGCCCTCCAGTTAAGGGACCGGGGCACTGGAGAAGCCTGGGACAATTGGCTTTGCTCAGCCTCAGGAAGACAAGAGAGGCTGATCTGACTGCTCTCTTCAACTACATAACAGCAGGGCCCAGAAGATGGAGCTAGACTCTTCTCAGCGTCCGACAGGTTCAGAGGCACTTGCCATGAGCTGCAATACAGGAAATCCTTATCAGATGTTAGTAAAATTTTTATGCCTGGTCAGACACTGGAACAGGAGCCCAGAGAAGCTGCAAGATCTTCATCTTTGCAGATATGAAAGTTTAGCTCGCAAAAGACTGGAGTAATCCAGTCTAGTCAGCTCTGCTCTGCACAAAGGGCAGAACCTGCATAAATTATTGCATGAGTAACAGTGGTACGGCACATACTTAACAAGGACCTCACACAGCTTGACATGCAACAAATTGGTTATGGCAGATCCTTAATGCAGACAAGTAAGAGCTCTGCTATCTGAACATTTTCTATATTGTTCACGCTTTAGATTATCTTAGGTTCAACAGAGACATCTGCTGGAAAGGAGGAGGCTAGACTTTCTGGAAAAAAGTAACTGCCTAACAACCACAAAAAAAAGAGTGATAAAGTGCAGAACGAGGGAAACTTTAAAGCCTTCTTTCTTACAAAATAGCTAAAAAAAAAAAAAAAAAGTCCTTAAATTTCCCCTGAGCCAGGAGCAGAGCAGCGCTAACTCTTCATGACATCGCTCTCAAAAATTTAAGTTCGATACAGTCATCTGAACAAAATAGTCACTCTATACCATGAGGAGGCAGGGCTTATAATTAGCAAATAACATGCGATAAGGCAATTAAGACTTGGAGGCAGCTTAAAAGCTTTGTACACATTTCCAAGTCAATCACTTGTCAAGACAAAAACATATATGAGGATTCTTATTTTATTGATGTGGTGAACGAGTGGAAGAAATTTTATCATAAAACATTCGTGGCTAGTGATATTTTCCATGGCTTTCCCTGAGGGACAAGCAAAGTCAGTTATGTGACTTATTATAACGCTGGAACGGGCGAGGAGAATTCCAAGATCAGTTATAGAACAACCTTGAGCATCATTTGCTCCATTATACAGAAAGAGACTTCATGTTATGCACAGTGTATCAGTAGTACCAACTTTGCTGCATATGAAGAGTGATTCAGTGAGAAGGTAGGAAGTGAATGTCAAAGAGCCAAATAATGCTATCCAGTCTTTGGATATCAGTATAGCCAGGGCACTCAACTATGCCCACATTGCAAAAAGAGTTAAAAGCAGTAGTAAGAAGATTCAGCGCCTGGTAAGAGGATTTATTACTCGACTCAGCGGAGAATTTCAGTCCAGCACATTTAAATGTCCATGAAATACAAAAAATTTACAGCAGTCAGAGCTGCCCTGCTATTAAAAATATAACTGAGGTATTCAAATGTAACAGTTCAAATTTAGTGATTTAATGTACAGTTCTAACGAAACAAAACAGATGTGGTTACAATAGCACTAAGGGGCTTTATGTTTGTTACATCTCACGGATTCTAGACCTGGCATGATAAGGGAAAGTGATGGCCAATTGCCCAGCAAACTGATCCTGGCCGTCTAACTGAAGGTCTAATCTTCCTCCTGTCATACTCTTGAGTCTGTTTAACCAGATTCCACAGGCCAATTTCTGATTCTGGTACAAGGCTTTGGCTTTCAGAGGGGTATAAAAATGGAAGTGAAGACAATGCATCGACAAACAGAACTTAGGCTACATGGAGCTGAAAGGCAAGTGATGTGCTAACCTTACTTCTGTGATTAAAATAAGCAGCTCCTGAAGAGCTGGAAGCAAATCCATGCAAAAATATCTGTTTATTTTTTTCTGTCACTTCTTCTGGAAAAGGGGTCCTTAAAGAATCCGTAGAAAGAGATGGTTATGACGTCAAGCATCTAAGTAGAAATCCATTCAAATAAAATATTTCGGACTCATCATGCAAGCATTTAAAGAGAGCTGGGAGTGGAACAGGTGCCTGGCAGGACTGTGGAACATTCCGCGTTGTTACTAATAACCCTGTAAAATCAAGTCAAAGCTTAATGAGAACTCGGTCCACAGACTGGTATACTGGAAGCTCGCTCTGACCAACGCATGTCACGTAACGCCTTGTAGGCAGTCCTAAGGAGTTGCACTTCTAAGAGTGCTGAGAAATTCCTGGTGCCGGTAAGCAGTCCACAGAGTAGTCTGTCTGGATTATCCCCCAGTACAGCTCTTAACAAGAGCATCTTTCCTCCTGCTCGGCAAAAACAAGTCTTTTACATGGCTAATTTGCTAAGTAGCGACACATATCAGATTGCATCTAAAGCAAAGCGCACACCATTCTCCTTAACCATCTGTGCTGTTCTTGGGAGATCCACTGACAAAAAGACTTCTGTAAAAGCAGCTCCAAACAAATGCTAACTACAAATGTTATAACTGAGTTTAATGTTATAACTGAGCTTCTGATTCCCTGAGGCTTACAGGATGTTTTGGTTGCCTGCAAACCTTGGAGACGTTGCAACAAAAATTTCCGATTAGAGTTATCTAACGGCAGTCATAACACTGCTTCTGAACAACAGAATAAGGCAACCGGCAAACGCTGTGAAACACAACATTTTCCTGCTTGTGAGGAGATTTATGACTCAGAGCAAGCAAGTAACATGAAACATGAGTGGCAGGTCAAACAACTTGAGCAAGCAAAGAGGTATTTTGTGACCTGAGAACTGCAACTAATTTTGTTACTACGCTACTGCCTATCAAACAAGCTGCAAGTCAGGCAAGTCAAGCTTTTCAGTATTTGGTCCAAAAGACCACAAAAGCCGGGATCAAAACCTGTACCCCAGAAAGACCAGGCTTTGCTTCTTAAAACATGAACAACACTGCTAAGGACTGCACAGGAAAAGGCTGTAACCCTGTCCTGATGCCCTTTTAAGCTGATCTTTATAAACATTTCATAGCTTTATTCAGTGAGGAAAATATCTTTTAGAGCTAAGGATTATGAAATGCTCAGTGACGAGGAAAGAGAATTAGACCCACAGATTGCAATTCTGCCCGAGTTCTCTCAGATTTGCAAAGGAACCGTATGAATCGATGATGTCGTACATACCCATCTAGTGCTGTCTTGACCTGACTGCCTTCCTCTGCCTTTTGAAAAAACCGCTCCATTCTATCAAAGCCAAAGAAGGAAAGAAAAAGAAAAAAAAAAAAGGTAAGTTTAATCTGAATCACTCCTTAGGATTTCTTAAAAAGGCTTTTAGAGGCGCATATCCAGTTAGCACTTTATAATCATGACTGTGGTTATGCCTGCGGTCACTTAACCACAGTTTAGAAGGTGATGTCACAGCCAGCTGTTCTGGCTTAGTGTATTTAAAAAGATAGCATAAGTCTTGGGAACTTACAGATATGCAAGGATTGCCTGAGCAGGCCTCGGGTTTCTAAGTCAATATGCCAGTAAGTGTAAAATGGGAAGATGACAAATGCAAACAGTGTCAAATACCGTTAAGGGAAAAGATAAGAGGACCATTCCTCACTCTTTGCATGTAACCCTAGGGAATTAAATGCTAAAGTGAACAGATTGATGTCAGGAAGCCAAGGCAGCTAACGCCTCCGCTTTTGGCTTTTGAAAAATACAAACAGTTTCTCATTCACAGTCTTATTTAGTGTTCCCAGTCGGAAAGCACAAGAAAGAAATCACAGGCGATTTTGTCCTCTAGCACTAAGATTGCCTACGTTTATCAGGACCGTCCTCACCAAAAAAAAAAAAGAAAAACCAGGAAACATGATACCTACAAGATAAAGAAAACGAGGGCGTGCAGTGGCAAGGAGTTACTCTGTTGACTCTGCACTGCGGCTGCAAGCTCTGAATCCCGCAAAAGGGGAACATTTCGTTTCTAGTAACGTTTTCCCCATCAACAAAGATTACCGTAAACTAATCACGTCATATCACCGCTAGGGGTGCGGAAGCAGGATTGGGCCTTCAACGCCTTGGAAACTGCGAACGCTGAACCACAGAGAAAACATGAAGATGACTGCTGAAAAGCTGTTTCTTGTTTTTAAGAGTACCGCAACCAAACAGGCAGGGAAGAATAAAGTCTCCGGCCCCTGTTTCCCTGGGGGGGAGGAGGATGCTGCAGGCAGCGCTTAGCTTGACTCCAGTATCAATAAAAGTCACTTAAAACGGAGCAGAGCGAATTAAACGCGGATCCAGGATGGTTTTTTTT